GCATCGAGCATTTCTGCTACTTGGCCAGAGGGGTCGCTTGGTTCCCTAAGATGTTGCGGCTTTTTCCTCGCCTCACTTTGTGCGTAATTTACATTGTTTCTTATGCCATGTTGCTTTCACGATTAAAGTACGATTTTTTTTTTCTTTTTTAATAGCCGGGTGGTGGTGGCGCACACCTTTAATCCCAGCACTGGGGAGGCAGAGGCAGGGGGATCTCTGTGAGTTTGAGACCAGTCTGGTCTCCAGAGCGAGTCCCAGGACAGGCTCCAAAGCTAAAGAAAACCCTGTTTCGAAAGAAAAAAAAATTATTTGTAGTGCATTGGTGTTTTGCCCGAAATTTTCTTTTTTAAAAATTAATTTACTTATTTGTAATGCATTGGTGTTTTGTCCGCATGTATGTGTGAGGGTGTTGGATCCCCTGGAACTAGAATTACAGACAGTTGTGAGCTGCCATGTGGGTGCTGGGAATTGAACCTAGGACCTCTGGAAGAGCAGCTGATGGTCTTAACCACTGAGCCATCTCTCCAGCTCTTAAAGAATAGTTTCGGGTAGTGGAGATTTGAGGTGCTTGGAAAATGGCCTGCTGAGAGGCAGATGTGGTTTTGGCACTCCCCCTGTGACGGAGAGTCTGAGTTAGCAGGCTGCTCATGTCTAACCTGAGACAAGTTCTTCCTTCAGTGCCAGACTTTCAGAAATGGATGCCAATGTTCTGCTATCATTTCTGCTTTCTGGGACTTTGAGGAATCTATCTCCCCAAAGGAACTCGCTCTTTGATGAGGAAAGCAGGCCTAAAACAGCAATCCTGTAAGAGCATACCTCTGTCCCACCTCTCAATGAACAGGAACTTAAAATGTGCTGAGCACAAGTGCTATGAAGAGCTGGGGAGAAGGTGGGCCTTGTGACTAATGCTGGCACGTGTGGAGAAGTCAGAGGACAGCTTTGATGAATTGGTTCTTTCCTTCTACAGCCTGGGTCTCTGGGATGGAACTCAGGCTGTTAGGCTTGGTGGCAGGTGCCGTTACCTGCTGAGCCATCTTGGTGGCCCTGAGGATAGCTCCTGAATGGTCAGCTTGGTTGGTGAGAAGCACTTAGACCAGGAAAGCACAGCTCTGGGTGCATCTGGGAGACATTTACAGAGAGTTTACTAGGTGAGGGACGTGGGTCCTGAATGTGGGTGTCACCATCTCATAGCCTGGGTCTTGGATAGGGCGAATGGTGACAGAGAAAGCTTGTTAGCAGGTCATTCTTTCTTGATGCTTCCTGGCTGAAATAACTGAGCACCATGGCTTCACCACAGCCTTGGACCAGGATGTTCTGCCTCACCAAGACTCAGTGCTGCCAACAGCCCTGAACTGTGAGCCTAAATAAGTCATCCCTTCTTTAAACTGCCCTGAGTATTTGTCACAGTGACTTGTGACTTGTCACAGTCACCTTCCTTGTCTTCTGGAATCCCGTCCTTGTGAGATTCAAAGTATCCCACTAGTCAATGTAGAGAAGTCTGGTAATGGATGGGTCCACTGGGATCCAACATCTGCAAAGGTCTTCAGATGGGTGAAAGAGCAAAGGAGTGCGGCGAGACGCTGCTGCAGTGACTGGGTGGGAACTGGCTGGGATGTGCTGTTCACACCACACCGCAGGAACAGAAGTTGAAGCAGAGTCCAGTGGTGAGTGAGAACCACTATACAATGACTTAGACCCTCCCCGGGGTGCACCAGCACTGTGGAACACGGAGACTTTGGCCAAAGCCAATTGACCCTCCCCAACACAATGTCAAGTGAAGGCAGGAACTGGGAATTTTACTGCTCATCACAGCACAGGTGTGCCAGAACTCACTCTAAAAGATGAGTGTCACTGTTTGTATGTCAGGTAGCAGTTACTATAGACTCCTAGGTGGTGAAAGTGTCGAGGATAGGTGGCAGTTGAGTGCTCAGTCCTACATGGGATCCCTCTATCACCTCCACCAGTCCCCAGGGAATATCATGAAGAGGGGCTGGAAAGACGCTAAGAGCCTGGGGAAGGGGTGGAGCATGGAGGGCATAACTTTGTAGTCACTAACTCCTAAGATTAGGCTCATGAGAAACGCCTTCCCCCGAGTATCTGTATGCAATTACTAGTGGCTGAGCAAGCAAGAAACACTTTTTATCCAGTGGTGTGGCCTTTGATGTTCCTGTAAGTAACCCTAATTAATCTTACTGGTTCACACACAAACACAGAGAGACATTAAAGTAGAGAGGGGACAAATGGCGAAAGGATCAGTGAGAATGGGGGCCGGGGGATAAGAGGGCTGGGAATGACATGATCAAAATACACTATATATACGTGTATAAAAGTATAATGAAACCCAGTATGGTATGAGACTTCTTTAGTTGGTTATGTCAATCTCGTGGTTACCCGGGAGATAGCAATGCAATCTTGATCCCTCCGATTTGTGTTCTTAACACGCCTCTCTCATTGTCTGTCTTCTTAGGGCATCCTCTGAGATTCAGCTCTGATCATGTGGCAGGAGCTGGGTACCCTGAGAGAGAGCCTTTCAAGCAGTGCCCTGCCTGTGTCCCCATGCCATCCTACCAGCCCTTCCCACTGGATGGCCAGGATGCATCCTCAGCTGTGGGGATCCCTCAACAAAGAAGCTTCCGTCATGTTTCCTGTAGCCCCTACCATGGAGGCAGCTTGGTAAGTTGGAATCCATATCCCTTCCAAGTTCATCCTTATCCCAGTTGTTCTTACCACTTTCACTGGTGCTCAGTCCCCAGAGAGCCAGTTGTCATAAGGGAGTGTCTCTAGGAGAACACGGGCAGGTGGGTCTGCACCACTAGGCCTGAGCTCTGGTGTCTGCTTCTCCCAGTTGGAGGCCAAAAGGCACTGGGAGCCCAGGGGTGACCATGACCTTTGACTCATGCAGCGAAGCTTCTAGAAAGCCTTTATTCTGCTGAGTATCAGTGCCACAGGTCTCATGAATGAGACTTGGGATTCAGGACCCGTAGCTGCTTGGTATGGTGCCAGGGATGCTCTGCTTCAAGTCCAGGTGTTTTCTGCTATCCTGAGTATGTCTCAGAGGTAGAGAAATCCTGTCTCTTAACTCTCATGGCACCATTTACTGCCCAACCTGAGAGATGTGGGTGCTCCATTTGCCCCCTTATTACAGCCCAGGAGAGCAGGTGCCACCAGCCTGCAGACAGAGAGGCTATAACGAATGGAGCCTGTGGCACAGAAGCTGTCTGCTCACACAGAAGCCTGAACTTGACATCCAGGGCAGGGCTCTGACTGACAGGCCTACCAGACACTCTTGTAAAGGGTGTGAGTCTAGTCCGAATTTGGGGCTGCGCTGTCACACTGGCCCCAGGCAGAAGCTGTGTTCCAACGTGAGACTTGGCTGAGAGCTTGGGATCAGAACGCTCACAGTCCCCTTCCCACCCCTGTCACGTCTGGATCAAACCTAAGAGTCATTAGATTGTTTCCACTCATGTGCTGCCATCCTCACCACAGGCTTGAGACACGCCCAGCAGCACCCCCCTCTTTGTCCTTGCCCCTGCCTGCTCACTGATGCTGTGTGTGCTTCCTCTAGTCCCTCTTCACTAGAAAGCCCAGCCAATGGAGTTGGACAAGCCCAGAGCGATTCTCCTTCCCGTGAGCCCGGCACCCTGGGGAAAAGTCCTGGGCTCAGCTAAGATACGTGTATTCCTGCTTGCCTGCATTCATGAGCAGATGTTTGCTTTACACCTGTCCCAAGTGCCCCGTACACAGAAGTGTATCTGCCCCCGTGGGGAGCCAACACCCGCCCCATTAGAGAAATAAAAGAAGTGATTGACCAGCTGGCCGGCCTAGCTGCTCATTGTCTCCCTCTCTGTCCCTCGGTCTGTGTGTCCATGCAGGTGCCAGAACCAGCCCGAGACCTCCAGCCAACCTACTGTTCACCGCCGCCGCCACCACTACCACCTCCACCGTCCCAACCACAGCAGTCCCAGTTCCTCCCGCCAGGCTACCTCTCTGCTCTCCACTACCTGCCACCGCCACCACCACCGCCATCTCCACCGTCTTTTTCACTGACCATCATGTATGATACAGAAAAGGAGACTAACAGTAAGAGACCAATATTCCTGCCTCCAGATGAGCTGGAGAGACTTTGGGGAGAGGTCATCTGAAGTTGGGGTAGAGAGAGGGGCCTGGGCTGAGCTCTTTCCCATAGCCCTCTCATAGTCCATACACCAAGGGGGTCAGAAGGGACTAGAAGGCACTTCTCTGTCTGACCTCATATGCAGGACTAACTCCTTCTCTAACAGCACTGTGGGCAAGGTGTGGGGGAAGTGTGATCTCGGTGTGCTCAGTAGATCAGAGGGTCCCAGATCTACAGTCATTGGAGGTGCCACTCAGGAGACACCATCGTTGTCATCCCCCAAGGGGATGGGTGACAGGAGCTATCGAGTCTGCCTGGCAGCTCTGCCACCCCTGCCTGGGAGACCTGAGCACGGAACCCCATAGCACTGTCCGCCCTTACAGGGTCAGCAGGCCTTTGGCATTTATGAGCGCTTTGCAGTTTCTTTTTAGATTTTTAGAAAATTGATATTTTATTTTTGTGCATATGTACATGTATGTTTGTATATGTGTGTGGGGTGGGTGAGCAGCCACCTACATGAGCAGAGAATAACCTTGGGTGTTATCTTCAGGAACATGGTCCATCTCCTTTGAGACAGGGTATCTCATTGTCATTGGCCTGGAGCTCATCAGTTAGGCTAGAATGGCCTCAGGGAGCAGGAGATCCCCCTGTCCCCACCTTCCTAGCCATCATGCTTCTCAGAGTTTCCAGGGAACAGACTCAGGTTCTCATGTGTGTGTGTGTGACTGCAAGTGCACACAAAGCTCCCGGAGCAGCTCTGAGCCCCTGCTTGCTGAGTCATCTCACCATCACGCCATTTCTTTCTTTCTTTAGTTTTGTTTTGTTTTTAAGGGCTCTTTTGGCTTTAATGTTTCTTTTTATTTTCTTTTTAATTTGTGTGATTGAATGTGTATGTTTGCTGCACATGTCAGGATGCCTGTAGAGGCCAGAAGAGGGCATCAGGTCCCCTGGAGCTGGAGTTACAGGCAGTTAGTGGTCCAGCATTGATGCTAGCGCCTGAACCCAGGTCCTCTGCAAGACGAGCAAATGCTCTAAGCCCTGAGCCACCTCTCCAGCCAGGCTTTAGACTTCATAGGGCTTTATTCCTTTCTCCCCTGTGAGCCTCCATGATTTGGAGAAAGCTGGCAAATTCAAAGAGTTCTTTAATATAAATATCAAAACTGTCCAATGAACTGGGTGAGTTTGATGCTATTCAGTTTTACTGAAAAGGAAACTGAGGCCCATAGCACACTTGCCTTGTAGCTGGTATGGCTTGAAGCTTGCTGGCTGGCAGCCTAAGCATACACTTTGTTCTTGCCTGTAATGGCTATGTGACCTTGGACAAACTCATGCTCTCTGTGGTGCTTCAGGTCCAGCACCTGCCAAAGAGGACAAATAGTGGTCTCTGCCTCATGAGACTCTTCTGAGGGCAAACTAAACATTAGCCAGCAAGGCACTCATGAAACTAGCTGCCCCTTACTGTTCACCGATCGTGTTACAGAAGGGCGAGTGGAGGGTCTTAGCTGGGAGAAAAAGCAATGAAGAGCTAGACTGGATGGGGGACTCAAGGCTGTTCCGTGTGGCCAGGGCTGGGAGTCAGTCTCTTGCCCAGCAAATGTCACTCTGCACAGGGGCCTGGGATCAAGATAAGGCCTAGTAGAAAATCTGCGTCTGAGAACCTGTGACTCAACCTCTTTCTAAACCAGCTGCTTTCTCTGTCCTTTACAGATGGTCAGGATGCAGAGGCCCCCAGAGAGCCCAGCCAGCATGCCTCCCAGGAGCACTCTTCCCAGGAGCAGTCCAACTAAGCTGCAGGCCCCCTCAGAGGCCACTGGATGGGGAGGGGCATATACGACAGCAATTATTTTTTTCACCTGTGTTCATGTTTTATATCAAGGAAGGATATTGATAGGTATAAAATGGCAGCTAATTCTGGTTTCAAGATAGGAGGAGGAATGTGGTTTCCAGGTTCTCTGGATCCCAAGTGGGTGTTGAAGTGGTGTATGAAGGGAGAGAGTGTCCGGGTCAGCCAGGGCCTTTGAAGAGTAGGGGCTGGTGAAACACAAGTTTAGGAATGAATTTAACCATCCTGGGCCATGCCACTTATGAAATTCACCTCTACAGGTGGCCTCTGATTTCCCCAGCCTCACACAGGACAGAAGGCACCATCCATTTCAGCCTTCTGCCCGCTTTGTCTGATCCCCAGGGCTGGGTACCACAAACATTAATGTTTCCAGCCTACACGGAGCTGGAGCTGGGGAATGGGATGTTGACAGCAGGTCCTGCAGCATCCCCACCTTTCCTCAGCCATTGCCCCTTGTTCTTGTCCAGCTAGTGAACTTGCTGACTTCTGGGCCTCTTCTGCGAAGCTTAAGCAATGGCAGGCTCCTTTCTCATTTAAAGTTTTTGGTTTTAGTGTTGAATGTTTTCATAGTAGGGAACTCATAGGCACTGAAGCAGTTCTCAGAGCATAAAATGGTGACTTGAACTCTGAGGACAGTTGAGCATTGAATAAAGTGAGCATCAGAAACCCTTGTGGAAGGCTTCTCTGTTTAATTCTCACAGAAAGCTTTTGGGCCAGAGCCTGGCTGGGGAACTTGGGGTGTCTGGGTTCAGGGTTCTCTAGCACTGAGGCAAATCTCCCTGGCCCTGCCTCTCCTGGCCTTGGCCTTAGGAATCAAGTGAGATGGTCTGAGGCAGGCTACATTTCTGTAGTATCACTAAGTGCCCCAGGATAGCCTCATACTGGGGACCCTCCAGCCTCAGCCTCCCCACTACCGTCATGATTTTTTTTTAAGCAGCGAGAGCTTAAGGGATAGATCTAAATGTTTTTGAAATGTCTAGGCTATCTTCCCCTGCTCTAGTTCCTTTTATGGTCTCTATAGAGGAACATGGTTTAAAAACAGAACTCAATCCTATTCTATAAGGACCCTGAGCCGTTTTCTTCTCTCAATACTTGTTCCTTCGTCTGCAAAGCAACCCTGTTGCAGACGTAGATAAAACTCGGTATGGAGTGCTTGCCTAATGTGTGGGGCCCCAGTTTATGTTCCAGTTGTAGAGAAAAATAAAAGCCTTTGTTAACTGGATTTGGATCTACCAGTCCAATGGCACTAGTACCAGAGATGGGGCAGGGGACAGCTAGTCAGAGAAAGCCTAGTTGAACTGAGGCACAAGAGTGAGGTAAGAAATAGGGTAGGTAAGTTACCCCCTTCCCGTGGGGGGTCAGGAAGAAGGAGGGGGCTGGAATGAAGGTTCCTGGGGTGAGGGAAGGGCTGGTACCCAGAAGAGCACTCTGACCACACACTTGTCTACATCCAAGAATACACAAGAGTTCAACCATTTTTTTAGGTCCTAGGTCTGAGAAACTCCCTTCTGTAGGGGTTCCTGTCCACAGGCACCCAGGAATTTGGGAGGGTTTCTCAGTTAACTAGGTCCATGATCCAGAGATGACTCAACATCTTTTGGTTTTGGGGTACCAAGTGAGGCAGGCAGCTTATTGCAATGCTACCGCCTCACTGGTTTGAGGTAGGAGGCTTGCCTTTCTCCTGTCAGTTGTCAGTCTGAAGCTGCCCTTTATTATTCCGTGAGGCCTACCACAATCATGGCTCTCTAGAAGTGGGGGATGCGTGCACCCTGAATCTTTCTGGACAGTACAATATCCGTTCCTTGAATACCCTGTTGGCCCAGCAGCAGTGCAAGTTACTGCCTCTCAAGCTAGCCTGGCTCCCAACCACGCTCAATAAGAACTGACATTTTCACTGTAACGTGCTGCCCGCCTGGCTAGCTTTTCCCGCCTTGATACCCACCACATTAACTGGGATGGGTATAAACCAGCCAGACATAAGCAGAGGGGGCTGGGTCCAGAGGCCGGGGTGCCACTCAGTTAACTCTGAGGAAAAAAATATAGCGGCTCATTAGCAGTGGATGCAGTGTCAGGCTGCCGCCACGAGAGGGCAAGCCGGGTCGTAAGAAGACGCGGTTTGTTGCCTAGCGACCGTCTATGCCTTGGTGGCGCTCCACCCCTATAACTCAAAGAATTGGGGGATCCTGGGGCGCGATTGTTGAAGCAGCCCTCGGAGATAAGAGATTTCACTAAAAAATCAAAACTAGGAGGCCCTGTGATCTATGTGATCCTCCATGATGCCTCCTGGGAGACACTCTGATGCCAAATTACAGACGACAAAACGAGGCCTATGCAGGTGAGTTCTTGTCCTTAGCCGTAATGTCTGTGAGAGGAGAGTGGATTAATTTCCACTTCCACCCGAGTTCAAAACCAGGGGGACCATTGAGAATCTTAGGGCGATGTGGGAACCCTCCCCAGCCCCAGTGGGCTTTGCTGCTCAGCTGCTAGCCAGAGCCAGGTGTCAAAGGCTGTCAACAAGCGATGATTAGGGCAGGTTTTTACATAGGAATAAAATACTTTTTAAAAACTTCAAACAGGTTGGAAGGATGGCTCAGCAGTTAAGAGTGCTTACAGATCTTGCAGAGCACCCAGTTGGGTTCCCAGTACTCACAGGTGCCTCACAGCCACCTACAATTCCAATTCCTAGGGATCCAGCACTCTTCAGCTCAGTGAACACCTGCATGTATGTGCGCCTGGAAACTCGGCAGGCATACACACAGAAGCATAAATGGAGATAAGTAATACACCTTAAGAAAAACAACTTCCAAACTCATTTAAAACCTGACTTTTTAAAACAAGAGATTAATAATTTAAGGTAGATGAGGCAAATTTCAATATTAATGCTTTTAGTTCAAACGTAACCTAAGAAACAATTTTTGTGTCTGTTTTCCTGTCTGTCTGTCTGCCTGCCTGCCTCTTTTTGAGACAGCATTTCACTATGTAGACCAGTTTTAGTTCAAATTCAAAATTCTGCTCCAGCTCCTCGGGGCTGGGATTACAGACACGCACTGTTAGACTCTGCTATAGAAAACAGGTTTCTGTTTTTTTTTTTTTTTTTTTTTTTTTTTTTTTTTTACTAGAGTAATTTTCCTTGTATCATTTCTTTATGTTCTCCAGGCAGTTGTTACTACAGTGTGTGTCTGATGTGAGTTACCTGTGCGTGTGCCATGAACCACTTTCAGGAGTCTGTTCTTTTCTTGCACCAGGGTAGCTCCACGAATCACATGCAAGCCCTCAGGTTTGTGTGGTAGATGCTTCTGCTCACTCTGTCATCTTGCCAGCCCTCTCCAGGTACTTTAAATACGATTAATTATAAATTCAGATAACACCTAAAACTACATAATTGGTAATAGAAGTTTAAGGTAGGAATGTGACCTCCCTTGCAGACCTCCTTCCTGTCTCATTCTGGGCATGGTTTGAACACACACACAAGCTTTTTCTGTAAACTTTAGCATGAAGATAATTTTGGGGTCACTGAAACTCTGAGGGATAACACAGGGACGGGTCCGTGCGCCACTGACCAACTTTCCACCATAGTGTTGTGGAGCAGTACCACGCCGGTTTGCTCATGTGCAGCTTCACACTTCACATCTGAGCCTGTTTAGTTAAAGGAAAAGGTTCAGTTTGGGGTATGTGGATGTCTAATTTCTCTAGTCTCTTCCGTGGCATCTTACACCTTTGTAGAACACCAAGTAGATTTCTGAGGGCCTGTTTGGAGTTCTATGTTCAGTTCCAGGCATATTTAGTCACACTCACTCTCCACCTCCCTCTCCTCTGTCTTTCACATAGACCAGGTTGATCTCAAAGTCTCTAATTGAAGATGACCTTGGACTCCTGGGCCTCCTGCCCCCACCTCCATAGTTCTGGGGTTGTAGGTGTATGCCAACAGGCCCAGCTGGGATGTGTTTCTTAACCATGCACAGTAGCAGACGGTTGACACTGGTTTTCCACGCTACTGTGTTTCTGTGTCATGGACATTTGTCAGTTGGTGAGGCCATTAATAAAGCCCCTCTCATAGCAGCACTTAAGGAAAATATCACTTGTGAGGTTACAGAGGAAACCAATGACGTTTCATACACCTGTCAAAATAGAGACGTACCTACATGTACTTCTGAACTAACACACCAAGTAACAAAACTTACAAGTAGTTTAAAGTACTTAAAAGTACAGCTGCATCAGACTCGGATATTGGCAACAGTGTAAGGTGATCTGAGAATGTCTATGACTTCTATCCACGACCAGGTCACGCTTAGTTCATCTTGGACTTATGACCTCCTTGCATGATTGAAGAAAGCAGTAGAGGTTAGCGACAACCAAGACACAATTCTTTTCAGCAGAGCCTTTCACTCTCCTAGATCCCAGCCATTACTGTCTGTATCGGAGCTCAAGGAGCTGCATGGTTTCTTCATTCTTTTTGTTTGTGTTTTTCGAGACAGGGTTTCTCTGTGTAGCCCTGGCTGTCCTAGAACTCACTTGGTAAACCAGACTGGCCTCGAACTCGCTGAGATCCTCCTGCCTCTGCCTCCCAAGTGCTGGGATTAAAGGTGTGCACCACCACTGACTAGCTAATTTCTTCTTTCTTACCATCTGTGTAGTACTTTTTCTTTTTTCTGTATAGTATTTTATTGAATAGAAGTTTCTTCGTGCATATAACCAGTCTCCTGCTTGTTTCTAATCTTTTATTTTTGCAGATAACTTAATTTCCTTATGGTTTCTCCTGGGAGGGCCACTGCACTGACCCCTTTGCCTCCAGCAGCCCTAGGCCAGTGGCAGCAGCCAGTCTGGGCTCCAGAGGGAATCTGGCAAGCCCCAGGCCCCGCTTTCCTTCCTGGGGTTTCCCCAGGAAGCCTCAATGGGCCCAGCACTGGGTTCCACCACTGCGCTTTGGAGCCAGCCATGGGGTAG